ACGTAATGTAATATGATATTATATGACACAGCAGATATAGCACAATATTAGAGGAAAGACCATGACCTAATAAGAGGCCATAAGAGCTGTAATAAAATAAGCTTCATTCAAAATACATACTTTCAGGCATCTGAATAATTTCATCGAATATTGTTATGTATAATCTCACATTAGTTAGTTTAATTAGAAAGGAGACAACACGATATTATCCACTGTTTTATTTTTCACGTCACGTTTTAAGTTGAGTTTATATAATAAACATATCTTTTCAATAATATTAATAATATGAATTTTTACATGATGTAAAATTATATCTCTTCCTTTTCTTTATCCTTGGTATAATTTCACAGATAAAGATGTTTCAAACTTTTATTATATCAATATTTCATATATATGTGAAATTTTTTATATATGTAACATTTATTGACACTAAATTTCTTATAGGAAGGGAATTATATGTCTATGTATATCATATTGTACAGATTGCATGCTTGTATGCAAGTCAGTTTATAATGTCATTAGATGTATATAATTATTCTAGAATTATAGAATTATTTTTGCGCGCTCTCTTGTAGATTTCTTATTGGCAAATACATATTTCCAGTATGTAATAAGTAACCCACATATTTTACAATCAAGGGTTTCTAAAATAAATAAATTATTATATATGCCTATTTTTTGTGCCAAAACACATTAATGAGAACTAATATTTTATTTTTATTGTAATATATAAATTTCTCTTCATAAATTCTGTTAAAAATTTTCAGTTTTATTCTTAGTCAAATAAGTTACTAATATCATGAGAGATAAAAATGTATTGTAAGATATGTTCTGCCTATGCATGTTAGTATATTATTAATTATGATACATGCAATGTCGAAAGGTATAATAAACATATGCAAATATTTCTTTATTATATATAAAAATAAGTATACAAAAATATATATAATATATAAAAATTATACATAACTATTTAGCTATAGTATTTAGTTCACAATGTCTTGTAATACAATATAACCAAGAAAACAGTCTGTAGTAACAGATCTATAAACATGGGGCAGTCGTTTTGTCGATGATAACAAATAATTTAAACCAGCTTCTATTATAGATAAACTTACTTCAAGGTGTTTAATATTTGAATAATTAGTATTAGTAATCTTACTTGTTCCATATTTATATAAAACTTTAGCTACACATTTCTGTTGTAAGGAAATAGTGTCAATATCATTCATTACTTTGTGATTAGGCTCTGTAATTAAATTTAATTTACAGTCCATTGGTCTTATCAGAAGACAATGAATTTGTTTGCCAACGGACGTTTGCAAGATAATTTCTTCTCCTAAAATTTCGCCCAATGATTCTTTTATAAGTATTAGAAAATCATTAAGTGGATCAGTAGCATCCACAGTATTCAGTGCACTACTTTGTGGTTTGTAATCCACGCAACAGTTCCATATTTTGAATAAACTATATGCATGAGGTGTCCCTATATGTAATAAACATTTATTACAAGTCAATGCTTTATTATCTATATGTACATTGTTTTCAAAAATGTTTTTATGCAATACAGAGAAACAAGAGCCATATAAATAATCAGATTCCTGTAACTTTATATTTGTGACAACATTGGAACTATGCTTACAACAGAACCACTCGTCCGGATCGTATTCTAAATCGGGTAAAGATAAAAATCTTTTAAAATTAATCGATTTTGAAAGTACATTTTTACAACAAGTACATAATATAAAACATTCTGATGTTTCGAACAATAATTTGATATTATCTAAAAATGGCTGTGAACTATTATTTGATTGAACTGATGTATTTGTATCAGTTACAATTTCTGTACCGAATGATCCAAATACAGATTCTAACGGCGCCGTTTGTAAACGAAAGCAAATCCAATTATTTATTACACTTAACATGGATAGAGAAGTAGGTATAACTTTTACAGATGGCAATGAAAGATTTATGCGACAGTCTTCGAGTACTAATATTATATTACTTTCTAGAAGTTTAATTCGAATATTTTTTAAACAGAGGTCTTTTCGTACGGCAATAAATGCATTGCAGGATTGCAACCGTGGTCTTAACTCTAACGTAATGAACTCCATTGATTATCGTTCACCGATGTAACCGTGTCATCGTATAATAGTAATGCATCTTTCCCCAATTGTAATTCTAAAAATACAATACAAAATAAGACTCTATCTCTCTTAGAGTCCATTTAATATTATTTCAAATATATTGTGTATAGTTTTGTAAAAAATACTTACTGGTTACACATACGATGTCGTACAATGCATACCAGCACGTGTTTATCAAATAAAAATAAAAAAAAGTATAAATATCAATGGCCTAGTGTACACCGATATACTTTAATACGTATTAAGTACTACACTGGCCAATCGTAGCCATTCCTCTAAAGAATGAAATGATTGTGATTGGTCGGTATAGTATTTAGTACGTATTAAAGTATATCGGTATAAACTAGGCCACAGATTCAAAGTGCGTTCTGTGTGACGTTACGAAAGTTTCGAAGCGTTTAATTGGCTAAAGATTCTTTACTCTGATTGGTCATTCATTTTATTGCACATGCGTATATATCGCATAAAATCCTGTATTCCTAATCCACAATTTTTATGCGTGGATCGTGAATGTGGATGTAGCACGGACATACTCTCTGGCATTATATTCTCGCGGTTCCCGCGAAGATTCGTATAACCTCTCTTCTTTATCTTTTGCGATCGTTTCACGTCCTTACTACAACGTCGACGTGTTTTTCCGTATCGTACATGATCTTTACGATTGCCAGTAACTGTGTCACGTAATAAAAACGTGTCTTTTGTAGAATGACAGAATCGTTAGTAAAGGAAATTCATTGATGCCCCAACCTGACAATTAATGGTCAAAGGTAGTTTGACAGCTCGTTCTTATCAGCGACATATACCGAGTGAACGATTCGTCCTTTTGTGAATTTGCGAAAAAAACACGCAATGCAGACTTGAGATTTACGCGAAAGTAGATGCAGACTATCGGCGGACAGAATATATACAAATTAATTATCCGATAGATATCTTAATATTATTAATTTAAGAAGAAAGAGATAAGAAAGACACACATATAAAAAAGATAAATGTTACATGATTCACGAATCCATATTGACAAGTGATAATCTCGCGTAGTATATATTGTTTGTTGCTGACGCTTTTAAACAGCAGATTACCAAATGTCAAAGAACAAACTCAACTTGACACTACCACCTGGTTCGATAGAACCGGTACCAGCAGTGTCACCGTCACCACCGGTTCCGCCTTTACCCACGTATCCGGAACCCCCAGTGATACCCGAGTAAGTCGAAGATTCAATTATTTCAAGCACTTATATAATTCACTAATATTTTCTCGATATAATTTAATATCTAAGATTTAATTATTTAAAGGAACGTAAGTTTAAATTTAGAATATTGTTGATATATAGAATAAGAATAGGATCATAAGAAATGTATTTATACATTTCTTATGATGTGTACACTAAGCTCCCTCAAAGTATCCTTCGAAGCTCAAAGTATCCTAAAGAAAATTAAAGAAAGAAAAGAAAAAACTTGTGTATATATTTCTTATGATGTGTATACACAAGTTTTTCTTTTTCTTTCTTTAATTTTCTTTACTCTGTTATAGTTACATAGAATTTTTTCATTGTAGACATAAATTTGAAAATAAAACTTTTTGCAGCGTTCAAGCACTTATATAATTCACTAATATTTTCTCGATATAATTTAATATCTAAGATTTAATTATTTAAAGGAACGTAAGTTTAAATTTAGAATATTGTTGATATATAGAATAAGAATAGGATCATAAGAAATGTATTTATACATTTCTTATGATGTGTACACTAAGCTCCCTCAAAGTATCCTTCGAAGCTCAAAGTATCCTAAAGAAAATTAAAGAAAGAAAAGAAAAAACTTGTGTATATATTTCTTATGATGTGTATACACAAGTTTTTCTTTTTCTTTCTTTAATTTTCTTTAATTTTCTTTACTCTGTTATAGTTACATAGAATTTTTTCATTGTAGACATAAATTTGAAAATAAAACTTTTTGCAGCGTAATGGGTAAAATGAGCATAGATGCTATTCAAGAGAGATTAGAGGAACTAGAAATGGACGAGGAGCAGAGAAAACGATTAGAAAGCTTTTTAGGACAGAAAGAAAAAGTTGGGGAATTATGCGATGAAGATTTCGAGAAGCTAGGTGAATTGGGTGCAGGTAATGGTGGTGTTGTTATGAAAGTCAGACACAAAGAGTCAGGTCTTATAATGGCAAGGAAGGTAAATAATTTGTATACTTTCACATCTTTAAATATTTACGAAATACTTGCTAGAGACAGAAAATGCATTTTTATCTGAGATTTATTTATATTACAGCTAATTATTTATATTACAGCTAATACATTTGGAAGTAAAGCCAGCTATTAAGAAACAAATAATCAGAGAATTAAAAGTACTGCATGAATGTAATTTTGCACATATTGTTGGATTTTATGGTGCTTTTTACAGGTAATATCTTAAAAATTATTTTTGAGATATATATAAAATATACTTTTTTATAAGAGTTGAATACCTACACATGAAATATATATATATTTCAGTGATGGAGAAATTAGCATATGCATGGAATATATGGATGGTGGATCGTTAGACCTAATATTGAAAAAAGCAGGACGAATTCCAGAACCTATCCTAGGTACAATCACATCTGCTGTAAGTCAAATTTTTATTACTAACAACTTACAATTAGAGAGAAGAAAAAGAGCAGAATCTTACAATTTAGTTAAATATGATAACACAATATATATATACTTATAATTATATAATATAATCTAATAATAACTACTTTTCTAATTAAACATGATAAGACATATAAAACATGAAATACATACAGAGATACCATGTATATGTGATGGATTGTTGATTAATGAGTGTGTTAAATTATATATTGGAAAGTATATATGTTTTTCTATAAAATTGAAATAGAAAAAAAAACCATTTTAATAGTATGTTTCTCTTTCCATAATTCCACCAGGAAAGAGACGAATACATAATCGTCTAAATTCATCATAAACCCAAAGAAACGCACCGAGCGGTAAGGAAGGCCAGTACCAATAAGCACTCAGCGGCATTGTTTTCAATACATACTCTGTGCCTGGAACATAGAGCAAGATCCCTGTTAGAATAGCTTCGAAAACGAAAGAGAAATTGACGAACCAGTTGCCCATTCCTTGTTGAAAGATGGAGTTGCGTCTGGTTTTGCACATTACCAAATCTATCATTTGTGTTATAACGATGGAGAGAAAATATCCGCTTTGCGCTTCCATTAACAGGTTCATTCTATTCTCGTAAGTCCATGTTTGACCCCAGGAATCTTGTAAATCGTTGATAGATGGATTCTCCCATTCTATTCGTAAACCTAATAGACGATCGGGCATAAAGCCGTTCATCATAAGCACCATAAAATATGTATAGAATCCAGCAAAGGACTGCGTCATTCCTATTTGACCATAAGTAATGGATATTAAACGCTTGTTCACCAACTTATCGTACTGAGGATTTCTCGGCGCACGGCGCATTATATCGGATTCGGCCTTCTCGTATGCCAGAGCGATGGCAGGAACCACATCGGTTCCGACATCTATGCAGATGACCAATTCGATGACCAACGGTAGGGGAATCGCTAATATTAGACCACTCAGCAACGGCAACATTTCTGGTACGCTTGACGTTAAGGTGTATGCAATCGATTTTTTTAGATTATCGAATATCAGACGACCCTCTTCGACGCCAGTCACAATCGATGCAAAGTTATCATCCATGAGTATCATGTCTGCAGCATTTTTGGCCACGTCAGAACCGGCGATACCCATTGCAACCCCTATGTCAGCCTGTCGCAATGCCGGTGAATCATTGACACCGTCGCCTGTGACTGCCACGATCTCTCCCAACCGTTGACAGCTGTCCACGATCAGCAACTTTTGCTGTGGTGATGTTCTCGCAAAGACGATCTCCTCGTAATGGCGTATGATATTATCCAATTCGTTTGAATCCATGCTTCTTAATTCAGCGCCGGTGATGATGATCGCACCGGTATCCATATCGCTCAATTGCGAATAAGACTTATTCTGTAGGATCGCCCGCTCATAACGGGTTTCATGATCTTCACTTATGATACCCACCTTTTTGGCAATCGCCATCGCCGTCACCGGATGATCGCCTGTCACCATGATCACCTTAATACCAGCGGTGCGGCATTTTTGCACTGCTTCGGGCACACCGGGCCTTGGCGGATCTTGCAAGCTTATCAATCCTACGAATCTGTATCCCTTTGTGGGAAAATTATAGGACGCAGGCGAATCAGTATTAAACTTGTAATTTGGTCCATATACATTGTCTGGCAGATGCATATCGCAATACGCTAATACACGTTCACCGAGATAGCCTAATTCCATGCAGGCTCTGCGAGATATAGCATGGTCTCTGTTGTCCATCTCTTTGGTCTCTCCATCTGTTGTTAATATCGTCGTGCAATTCTCCAATATCACTTCCGGAGCACCCTTCAGTATCATCTTGTAGCCATTGGTTTCCCGATGTATCGACATTTGATATTTGGTCATGGAACTGAAAGGAATCTCGGCCACTTTCGGATGGACCTCGCGAAATCGATGTGTCGGATGTATGTGTTCGCAGAACTTGAGGATACCGGTTTCGGATGCGTCGCCGATTATCTCACGTTCCTCGATGGGTGCCAATCTATAGGACTCGGCGGTGAATTCGGCACGCAGACAGAGAGTGGAGACTTTCAGCATAACGCTAAAAGCCGGCTTCTCCAGCAATAAGTCTCTTTCGACACCAATTCTTTCGCCTGGCGGGAAATTGTATCTAGTGTGGCCGAACCACAGATTAGATACGGACATCTTGTTCTGTGTAAGAGTGCCCGTCTTATCGGAACAGATTGTCGACGTTGAGCCTAGAGTTTCGACTGCTTCCAAATTCTTCACTAGACAGTTCTTGCTCGCCATTCTTTGTGCGGTCAACGTTAAAACCGTTGTCACGGTCACCAACAATACCTCAGGTACATTGGCGATAACTATCCCGAGTAGATAGGTAAATGCCCGCACGAGATTGGGTTCCAGCAACAATGATAACCCGAAAAAAGCGAGGCCACACAGAACCGCCACGATCGTAATGATCTCCACAAAGTGTCTGATCTCTTTAGCTATCGGCGTTTCAATCTTGGCGAGATGCGATGTGAGACCGGCTAGTCGGCCTATCATTGTGTTATCGCCCGTGGCAATCACGATTCCCTTGCCATTGCCCGCTACGGCAAACGACGTAGCGAAGGCTACATTAGCAGACTCGAGGGGATTCTTGTCTGTGGGATAATCAGTGCGCGTCACTGGCTCGCTTTCGCCGGTGATGCTGGAGTTCTCGACTCTTAATCCGTGACACTCGATTATTCTGATGTCGGCCGGTATTTTGTCGCCCATTCGTATCTCTACTAGATCACCCAGAACCAGCTCCTCCGTACCTAGACGTGATTTTACACCGTCGCGAATCACCATAGCAAAAGTGGGCACCATCTTTTTGAAGGACTCCATCACTTTGATATTTTTACTTTCCTGTATGTACGCAAACACGCCTGAAGTGATGCATATCGAGACGATGATTATGCCCAGCCATACAATACCAATATCGGGCTCTCTCATGTAGTAAGTAACAATGTACAGAATGAAGCATAGAGTCGCGCAAACCCAGAGCAATGAGGCGAATCCATGGAACATGCATTTTAAGAATTTGATGTATTCTGGCGTGACCTTGGGCGGTGACAAAGCGTTTGGTCCGTCTCGTGCGAAATTTTTGCTCGCCTCTTCCTTTGTCAGGCCCGTTTCCGTGTTCGTATTCAGTTTCTTGCATAGAACCTCCAAAGCTATTATATGATCGACGGTCTCTAACTCTTGATGCAGCTCTTGTATTTCCTGCTCGGTCAGTTTCTTCCTGTGCAGGTGTACGGAAGACACGCGAGACGGTTGATGCTGTATGGAGGACACACGGGTCGGTTGCTGCGCTTTCGAAGTGCTCGCTTGCATTTTTGCAAGGGGATTTTACAAAAGATACAATTTCACATATACACACACATAACGCTTCTCTTTTTTTTTCTATAACGATCCGAAGTCGTCTCCCTGCCAATTTTGTCGAATACTTGTGTGTTTATTTGTTTTTGTGATAATAATGCGAGCTATGCGCTTCTTTTTTACAGGTTTTGAAAGGCTTGAGTTACTTGCGAGACAAACATGCCATAATGCACCGCGATGTAAAACCAAGTAATATCTTAGTTAACAGTGCGGGCGAGATCAAAATCTGCGACTTTGGCGTTTCCGGTCAACTAATCGATTCGATGGCCAATTCGTTTGTCGGAACACGAAGCTACATGTCGGTAAGTTTATAGTAAATTATAGCTATTCTATCATATGGAATATACAAATATTTGTGAGACGGATTTTGCGTTTTTACAGCCAGAGAGACTCCAAGGAACGCATTATTCGGTACAGAGCGATGTTTGGTCACTCGGATTGTCGCTCGTGGAAATGGCAATCGGGATGTATCCGATCCCACCGCCAGACGAGAAGACTTTAGCTTCAATATTCGGTCCGCAATCGGCACAACCGCCTGCGGAGAATCCGGTGACGAATAGTGTGCCTACGCCGACCACGCAATCGCCAGGACACAGTCAGTATTTGCTCGCAAACTTTGTCAAATAATCGTGTCGTTAATCATTGATTCTCCATCTTGTAGGCGCAAGCAGTCCAAGACCCATGGCGGTATTCGAGCTGTTGGAGTACATAGTCAACGAGCCGCCGCCGAAACTACCACCCGGAATATTTAGCGACGCTTTTATGGATTTCGTCGATCGATGTTTAAAGAAAAACCCAGCCGAAAGAGCAGACCTAAAAACGTTAATGGTAAGTCTCTTTCTCTTTCAGATAAAAAACACTGATTGATAGTTTAATAGAAAGAAAAACATTACGTTTCACGATCATACATTTTAGAATCACGAATGGATAAAAAAAGCCGAATCAGAAAATGTAGATTTTGCTGGCTGGGTATGTCGTACGATGGACTTACAACCAACTACGCCAACGCATTTAGCGAGCGTGCAATCCTGAATAAATGTAACTCTTACATACTTGACTACATATATTCGCGTTCAGTATTCCTAAGTCATCTCTTAGTTTGTTTAGGTTTTCATTCGGTCAAACGGTGGCGTATATCCGTGTATATCCATTTATTGCGATTTTTTTTATAAAATATATCGGGATGCGCTAAGTGGATGCTCTGTTGAATGAATCATCATTGAGCACTGCGTGAATGATTCAAATTTACCAAGAATTTACCTATGAAAATAATAATATAAAAGGCCCGATCGATTAATATCACATTAAGGTACTTATTTCCTTACTGATTGTAACTCAATATGAATATAGTGAGGAAACAAGAATCTCTCTCTCTTAAATCATCTGTTTTGGTCATTTTCTTGCTTTTATAGGGGAGAGAGAAACGATTAAATCATGTAATGTATAAGAGTGATAATCTATAAAACATTGTGTTATAATATAGAAGAAATCTCTTTATCTATTAATTCTTGCGAACAGGACAAATCATGTTTCATTCGAAATCTGCTCGCTTAGCGTGAAATGTATTATCGTCCAAGTAATTTGCACACAGCACGCCACTGTGCCAAATATTAATTTCTTTCACTTTATATGTTCGTTTTTTTACTTTTGTGTTGAAAGTATGTAAGAAAAAAATTGCAATATATAAGTTCATTATTAGAAACTCATGGGCAAATTATGTTCCCCGTGATATAATTAGGATACACTAATGAGCATCGAACTTACGAAACTTACGTCTCGTTTGAGAGAAAATTAACTAGATCGAATTACTTCTATAACATTTGTACCTGACACATCCATAGGAACGTTATTTATACGATTAAAAACTTCATATTAAGCAGTTGTTTTTATATCAATATATAGCTGCGATTAAAGACGATTTTAAATTTAATTTTAACTTTTCTATATAATGAAATGTTTTTCATCATAAAATAATCATTTAAAAAAATGCAGTGTAAAAATTGTTGTTTCGACAATATAATTTATATTTTCAAATACTCTAAATATTAATTTGTGTGCTTACAATTATTAAATTTTTGCAAATTTATCGATACTGATATAAATCTAGATTCACAATAGATTATTGTACATCCGATAAAAGGCCAACTATTATTATCACATAATCAGTACAGACTTATTAAGTAAGAAGAAGCAAACTTGGTTTTTCATATATAATTGCGGCCTTACGATGTAAGTAATTACAATACTTCTCATAACACATAATTTAAACCATGTTTATATATTCGAATTATAAGATAAATAGAATTAATATATGGGAGCTCTTTTACTGCAAAATATGTATATGTATGTGCACAGTGGGTGATATTTTTAATTCCATTTAAGTAATGCTAAATATGCAATGAGGACTATTTACACTATTGCCCTTTTATCAAAAGGGATAAAGATAAGATAAAAGACGTGATAATAATAGAATTACGATGTAAGTAATTACAATACTTCTCATAACACATAATTTAAACCATGTTTATATATTCGAATTATAAGATAAATAGAATTAATATATGGGAGCTCTTTTACTGCAAAATATGTATATGTATGTGCACAGTGGGTGATATTTTTAATTCCATTTTTAAGTAATGCTAAATATGCAATGAGGACTATTTACACCATTGCCCTTTTATCAAAAGGGATAAAGATAAGATAAAAGACGTGATAATAATAGAATAAAGTTGAAATATCTTATTTTTATTCTGTTGTGTGTATAATGAATAATTATTATTATAAAAATAGAAAAATTACCCAAATCAAGCAAAAAGGGTTGACCTTTTGTGCATCTAATTGTATGCCAATCCTTTTGTATGTACAGCATGTATAAAGTGCATTTTTTAAAAATGTCACTTTATAATTACTAACTAATTTAAAATTCACAAATATTTGAAGAACTAGATATTACAATAAATTTTTTATTTCATACTTATCTCTCACTTATCTATACACATATATACACATCATAAATTGCAATTTGCATTTAAACACACATTTAATTTTGTAGTACTTAGTCAATGGTTACATCATTATTGGTAAAAAGGTTTATAGATTTGAAATATTCATCAGTAACCCAAATATCACAAGTATAGACAGTAGGATTGTCACGAAAACACAAATAGATAGTACATATACAAAATTGTAATTTTAGAATCAATTTATCATTTGTTGAAATCTTTTATGTTGAACATATTTTGTAGATACAATTTGCAAATTAGTATTATATTGTATGCTGTATAATAAGAGAGCAATTTGCGAGTTGGTTTAAAAATCACCAGATTATGATATGTATTATGATGTTTATAAGTCAAGTGAGATATTTCTCACAATATGTAGAAGCGTAAAACGCTCAAGTAAAATTTCATATTATATTTGTATCGCGATTAATAGAAACAATAACATTAATAATAAGAATCAATGCATATAATGCCATTTATTGTGAAGTGTGGTCTCTATTGTCTGTCATAGAACGACAATATACATATTTAGTTGCAGCAGAATCGTGTGATAAAATGTATAATATGCCAATATAATTTAGCAATTTTATCAAGCGATAACTCAATCAATTTCAGCAAAGTTCGTAATTCCTATAGCACTTATTAAAATATATGCACATTCCTTGTTGCAAATATGTGCATAATAATTGCAATTGTATGGATTCACTATATCTATCTAAGCATTATTAATTATAAATACAATAAAATAATCACAATATTGTAAGTGTAACTCTATGTTTAATATCTCAATACTCAATGTAGTTACATATAATATGGTTTTATGTGTCATATAAAATTTTTTTTATTAATAAAACATGTATACACGATCACACATGGCATTGATTTATGATATAAAAAAATTCTCTTCTCTTATTGACTTTATATTTATATATCTCGGTTTATTCATATAATATAAAGTAAATTACCATTATATAACAATATGTATACAATTTTAAGGATCATTGGTTGATGTATTGATAGCGTAACTATTCATAGAAAATCTATTATACAATTATAGAGAAAGAGAGAAAATAAACATGCCAAATCTTCAAAAATATATATTGTCAGGCTCCAAATCTTCATTTTCATAACTATAATCATAATCAGAATCTTCATCAATCCAAGAATCATCATCAACATCATATATATCTTCATCACTCATATCTTCTTCATCAATATCCAACATATTAAAGTCATCGTCACATAGATCCACGTTAACTATTTGCAAAAGCGGGGATGTTTGCTCTTCATCTTGTTCTTTTGTAGAGAAAATTGATGTATTTCCAATAATCATCTTTAACATTACATTATTTGATCGAGTGTTGCAGGCATCTTTAGCGGCATCGAGAGTGATGTTGCTGATATTATGACACCCAGAAATATCCAGTAATTGTAAGTAAGGTGAGGATCTAATGAACATTGACATGCCTTGATCGCTAATTGACGTACATTTTCGACACTCTAAATTTTTTAAGCCACACATATTTTCCAATCCATTATCAGTAATTTTCTTTACATAATTGATGATTAATTGTTCCAACTTTGGTAATGTAGCGATAGCTGCTAATCCAATATCAGTTACATCAAGGGAACCTGTTGGATAAATAACGCAAAATTAAGAAGTTGGCAAAGAATATATCGTATAATAATTGTGAATTACCTGTAATGTCTAAATAAATAAGTTGTTGACATTGTTGTGCCAAATTAATAAGGAATTCGTCTGATACTAGGGGGTTGTATATAAATTTCAAGACTTTCAAATTGACAAGCTTAGTTAAATGTAACACATCCGCTGTTTCTGCGAAAAGGAGACCTCCTTCAATCTCTAACTCATTCAGACTTTTACAATGTACGCCGATAGCTTTCAATGTGCGTACAGTTATGCCAGAACAGTTATTTATTGTAAGATGTTTCAAATTTTCAAGTTTTTTTAATGCCTGCACATGACAATATCGATATGTGTCTTATATATATATATATAT